GGGCAGGGCTGGGAGGAGAAGCCGGGACAGAACAGCGCACACACATCAGCCTGAACTGGGACATTTTATTTATGTACAACTGCCATGTCAGGTTTACTCCCGAGCCATGAGCTTCTGCTTCTTCAGCTTCTTTTGGGATATCTGGGGAAAAAAACAACAACAAAAACAACAAAATCATGAGATTTTGGCACAAACACCTTCCTAAAACATCGGGTAAATTCATCCTCTGAGAAAAAGTACTGAGGATGGTTAAATTATTATTATTTTAATTTCTCAATGTTGTGTTTATAATAAATATTGAGGCTGCTCAGAAATAACAACTATTTTCTTTTCACGGGTGTTCCAAAGGTGTCCTAAGATAGTCATCACAGCAAGCCCTCTGCGTAAACACGCATCTCCCAACACCACCGAGAAGGATGAAGATGACAAAAGGTTTTAATTACCTTTTTCTTTTGAGCCACTTCTTCTTCCGGCTTGGGAACGATCTGCTCCTTCTCGGTGAGGATCATCTCGATGTGGCAGGGGGAGCTCATGTAGGGGTTGATCCGACCATGTGCTCGGTAAGTGCGCCGGCGCATTTTGGGAGCCTTGTTAACCTGGATGTGCTCGATGACCAGAGAATCCACATCGAGGCCCTGAGAGGAAGTAAAACTTGTGACTTTTTTTCTTTAATTAACTCGGCAGTATCACAGAACTGAGTAATTATCCAGCAAGCACCAGGTGAAGTCAGAAAAAGACCAGCCACCCTTCTACATAATGAATTTACAATGACGTTGATGGCTCAGGAGGAAGGTATTGTTATTTCATGGTTATTCCAAAGGTGTCCTAAGATAAGTCATCACTGCCATCAAAGTCAATTAATTGCCAAGTATATTACAAAAATGCAAATTGACCAAATGTCCACAGATTTTGCTTTGTTTTGTAGATTTTAAGAGAAGATAAGGTTCTAGGAGACCTTCTAGTGGCCTCCCAGTACCTGAAGGGGCTCCAGGAAGGCTGGGGAGGGACTTTGGCCAAGGACAGGGAGTGACAGAACAAGGGGTGATGGTTTGAAAGTGGCAGAGGGGAGATGGAGCTGAGATGTGAGGAAGAAATTGTTTGGTGTGAGGGTGGTGAGCCAGTGTCCCAGGTTGGCCAGAGAAGCTGTGGCTGCTCCTCCCTGGAAGTGTTGAAGGCCAGGCTGGATGAGGCTTTGAGCAACCTGGTCTAGTGGAAGGTGTCCCTGCTGCTGGCAGGGGGGTTGGAACTGGATGAGCTTTAAGGTCCCTCCCAACCCAGGCCAGTCTGATCTCAAGCACATTTATTCTCAGCAGTGGACAATCACGCACAAACCAGCCACCTGTGAAGAATTATCACATTTTAACTTGGAAAATTCACACAGCAGCTTAATCCAAAGGAGCATCACACCAAAGCCTCTACACAACCCTGTTCCACCTACAGAGCAGGGCTCATCCCACCTTCCACCCCAGACCCGCTCGGTCTGGGAGCGCTGACACACAGCACAACAGCAACACCGTGTATTTAATCACACCCACATCACCCACCTTGAGCTCGGCGTTGCTCTCCGCGTTTTTCAGCATGTGCAGCAAGAACTCTGCACTTTTCTTGGGCCACCGCCCCTGTGTCCAGCCCCACTGCTTGGCCTGGAAAAAAAAAAAAGGAGAGTTCAGTTCTTACCCTGGTACATAACTCACCCTTTACACACTATTAACTTGGCATTACAACCCCTTTTATTAAGATAATTAAATTTTAATCGATAGCTTGACACTATGAGCAGATGCAATGCTTGCTGGTGTGGAATTCAGACTGAACTCTTTTCTCCTTCTTATTTTTATATAAAAAATTATCAACAGTGACAGATTATTCTCCACACCACCTCAAACATACGTTTTTTGGGGTTTTTTTTTTAAGCCAGACACAGTGTCCTTCTCACTTTTTCATCTCAGATCTCACCTGGGCACATCTACCGACTCCCCCGTTGTAGCGACGGAAGGGGACGCACTGCTTCTTCAGGGTGACGTCCTTCAGGTACTTGGTGGCCTTGCGGATGTGCATGCCCTTGATGGCCTGGGCTGTCTCACGAGTGTTCTAACAACACAAGAGCACAGCAAAAAAGTTCATCTCCTGAGCAGAAGTACTCCTCTTTCGCTCCTGGACCACTCTTCTTTTTGTTACAAACTCAGTTTAAAAGCATTCACACACAAAAAAAATAAAATTAAAGAATGAAAAATAATTTGCAACGGGCTTTTTTTTGGTGGTTTGGGGTTTTTTTTGCTACCTACTTTTCTAACCCTTGGTACGACTTCCTTTACTGAATTTGTGGCACATCTTTGTTGTTTTTTTTACCTAATGACTAGCTCCTACCAACTAGTAAAACCAGAATTTGAGCATTTATGCTTTTCACAGCTAGCTCCTTGGCTACTAACCCAAAAAAGGAGAAGCCTGAAGGATAAATTCCTAATCAAGTGTCAAATACGGCACCTCAGAGAAAAGGAGCTACACAAAAAATTTACCAACCATCTTATCTCTGTAAGAGAATCTTACAGGGAACAGAGAAAAAGGTTCATAAAGAAAAAAAATGAGAATAAAGTGTCCGTGCATGTGAGAGCAAATTAAATGCAGGAGTCAGCGTGTAACTACCATCCCACCTGATCACAGCAAAAAAGCAAATCGAAATAGGTGAAACCTCTTTTATACAACACGGAGCAGGAAAGCATCTGCTCAGCTTTGGGTCTGTGATTAACTCAAACCAGTCCCGAATTCCCTGCCACGTCTAAACCTTCTCCAGAGGAACCTAAATCCTCGTGCCACACTTCCAGACCACCAGCATTGATCACACAGACCCGATGTTCTCTCCAAACAATCAAAAAGGCAGAGTTAAGACAAATGTAAAACATCTCTCATCAACACCAGCTCAATTCCTCCTCCTAAATTCACTGCAACTGCCTTCCTGCTGCATTTTATTTACGTTAGACAAGAAGCTTTTTAGGACTTACCATCTTATTTTTGATCCTGTGGATAAAAACAAGCAGCTAAAGCAAGCACATGTCATAATCTACACTACCACCTTTAAATAACTATATATAATAATACAGGAGAGTAAAAGACGCCTCCTGCCAACCTGGTCTAGTGGAAGGTGTCCCTGCTGCTGGCAGGGGGGGTGGAATTGGATGAGCTTTAAGGTCCCTTCCAACCCAAACCAGTCTGGGATTCTATGAAAAATCAACCCAAAAAATAAATATATTCGCATTTCCGACCATGCACACGCTGCCTACCTTGAAATGCACTCGCAGGTTGGATCCCCGTGACTTGCATGCTGAGGAGAGAAGGAAAAAAAGGAAAAAAAAGGCAAAAAAAAATCATTTTTGGAATGAAAACCTCAATGGTTTTGGTAAATCCGAGACGAACATCCACGTAAGAACAACTCACATTTCGTGGGGTTCTCCGGATCCAGAGAGTATCGCACCATTTTTGGAGATCAACTGGAAAAAAAAATAATAATAATTAAAAAATTAAGCTTCTAAGAGAAATACGCAGAGTCCGGACTGTTCACGTCACAGCGAACTGGGGCAGCTGCTCAGAAATTACGGTTTCTTTTCATCCTTAAAATCCAAAGGTGTCCTAAGAAAAGTCATCACGGCAGCCATGGCCTCTCCCTCGGGCCTGCTCCCACCTCACACCCGCCAGACACCCTCCATCCTCCTCCTCCCCCACAAATACCGAGGGGGTCCGGTGAGACGGACCGAGCCCTCGCCCCCTCATCGCCTCCCCGGGCTGCCCTGAGCAGGATGGCAGCAGATTGGGACGGCGCGCAGGCCGCCATGGCTCCCTCACCTCAGGGCGGCGGCGGGGAA